AAGTCCATTCATTAGCAAAATGTCAGATGTGTAATGCTTTATTCCATGCATATAATCTTTATTATTCTACATTTTCTTCATCAAATGTTGAAGTTTAAAATCACCTAATGAATTATAGATACCCAGTCTACGTATTCGATTATTAAAAAAAAAAAAGAATGTCATATTTACTCACACTTATGCGTACTATAACTTTTGGATACGGAATATTTTGTATGCCTTTTTATTTAAAAAAATATTATCAAACCAAGTTCTTAAATAAGAGGAATCCATCACAAAATCTTTTTCCATTTATAAAACTTGAACAAGATATTGCCTTTTGTAGAGAGGGAGATATATATATATATATATATTTATATTTATATAGCTCTTTTACTTTATATAATCTTTTTTAAGTTTGCGTAACCTATCACTCAGTGAGCAGCAAGATCCATGTCAACGGCCCACTTAAACACTCAGTTAAGTTGTATTGGTGATAAATAATACTTCCCACAATTTTAAATACAAAATTTAGTAAATATATTTATTTTGGTTATGAATATAAGATTTAATCAGATCTCTAAATTTTTATTTTTTATCTTGCTAAACTCTTCTTATTTATTACATATGTTAAGGAAGAATTTTGCCACTTGAATGGTTTCAATGCAAATAATTAAAATGGGCATCTTGGAGAAATCAACACAAAGTGATCAATCAAGTCTACGCCAATGGGCTTCTTGAACGCCCCATTAAGTTGTATTGTTACAACTGATAAATCATACTACTTCTAAATCCAAATATAAGAGTTAGTTAACTAATTTGAGAAGATTAAAAAATAAATTTAGTTAATTATAATAAATTGATGTTATCGTTCCTAAAATATCGTTGCTAATCAAGTGTGTTGGCTAGAACTATCATTATTAGAAGGACTATCTTGAGAAAAAAAATACATAAATATGAGAGAGAAAATGGAATGAGGTTTTATATTTAGGACCAAAATAAAAGTCAAACGAAGTCTTATATTAAGAATCAAACGTAGTACTAGCTTTGATCTTTAATATAAGAGTTATTTGACTAATTTAAGCAGATTAAGAAAATTAGTTAAATTAGTTATCTATAATAAATAGGTACTCCTCCGGTCCTAATTATAAGACCCAATTGACTTATTTGGGGAGATTAAGGAAGTAAGTTAAGTTGGTTATTTATAATAAATAAGTGTTGTCATTCCTAAAATATCCTTGCTAATTAAGTATAGTGGCTAAAACTATCATTATTAGAAGGATTATTTTGGAAAAAATGCATAAATATAAGAGACAAAATGAATTAGGGTCTTATAATTAGGACCAAATAAAAAGTCAAATTGGGTCTTATAATAAGGACCGGAGGAGTATTGTCTTTCCTAAAATACTCTTGTTAATCATATGTATTAGTGGAAACTACCATTTGATGAAATATTTAACATGCTTAACTACTATAAGGACTATTTGAAAAAACGAATAAATATGAGAGACAAAAAAGATTGGAATATTATATTTAGGACCAAATTAAATTTTAAATTCGTTATTATATTAAAGACTGGAAGTAGTACTTTATTTAGTCCTAAATGTAACAGTTATAAAAGATGAATTTGATTCTAAACTCTCCCTATTTGTTGCATATATTAAAAGAATTTTTCATTTTTAAGAAAATAAACTTAACTACTTTTTCTATTTTTTACAAATTAGTTATCTAACTCCTAAAGAAGTAAGGATCGGAGTATTATTTTTTAGTGTTTTTTTCCAAACTAATTTGTCTTATTTATAAATTGATATATAATTTAATGATCCACATAAGTAATTTAAAGAAATCATATAATATATGCTATAATTAAGCAATTTAATAATTTTTTAAATCTCTTTAAGTCAATCAATTAGATTTTATATTGAGTGGCAAACGGATGCAGTATAAAGATATGGACGAAGGTTTGAGTGTTTTGTACCCATGGGCTATGGATTCCTTGGAGACATGCAGGGACACAAGATCTCCATTTGAAGTGTAAAAACTTCTGAGGGTATGGAAGGAACATATTCCGACTTACGGCTGAAAAGCCAGTTGGCTAAGATTGGCACCTTATTCTACCTACACACAACCCACAACCCCCCGTGTGACTCTTCTCTTTTTCTGTTCACATCCCACTCCCTTCAACGAAGCTTCTAAGCAAAAATACAAGTGGACTCCGTGAAATGAATATCATTCATATATATTGTGGGAATCAGATCCCTCCAAATAAAAATTCCACTTTAATTATTCTACTCATAATAATTGTAATAATAATGTTCTTTGCTTGCCCTTGTTCCAGAATCCACCTTTGAAAGTTACTCAATTATTGTCAAAATTAGTAGTAATGTTCTTCATGTGCAGACGAAGGGTGGGTGGAAGATTACTGTCATAAATAATCACATCATCTTCATCAGATAATAATAATAATAATAATAATAATAATAATAATAATAATAATAATAATAATAATAATTAGTCACTTTAAAGAGATCACATATATATACTCCACACGCGTAGATAATATTCCAGACCTTTCTTGTTCAATCCCTCTACTTCTTGATTCTATTCCATCTTCCTTTACCAGAAAGCTTTATAATATTTTCACACCTGTGGGAATGTGTGTATATATGGGTCTAAAGCTACCATTCCTTCACCCATCCCCAAGTTGTATCTCTTCCAATAAGCTCACCGTCAAGTTCTGCAATTCATAGGCCTCTTGCTGCAGCCATGAGTGAGATCAAATATGGCTACCCTTATCCTCCTCAAGGTATAACCTAATGGGATATATATATATAAACCTCTCTCTTTTCAAGTAGTTTCTTCTTATTTTTTACTTAAATTTTGAGTTTTCTTTATTCTGTGCTGTTAAATCTTTCTGTCTCTATAACGAAGCCATAAATGATTTGAAATTGAAATCAGCATGAGTGTGTATATGTTAATTAGAGTAATACTGAATACTTTTTTTTGTGTTCTGGTTTTAGGTCCTTATCAGGGGCCACCGCCGGTGGCGGCACCGCCGCAGTATTACGCTGAGCAACCACAGCCAAAAAATCGGCCAGAGCGTGGATTCCTTGAGGGTTGGTATGTGATTTAAAAGGATACATACAGATGGATACACATATTTTTGCCCAAAAAGATACTACGTCCGGTATTTAATACTCTTCTGGTTGTTAATATAAAACTCATTTAACTAATTTGATTAGATTAAAAAAAATTAGGTAATTTAGTTAATTATAAGAAATATGACATATTTTTTCTAAAATACCATAGTCATTTTTCTTAATATCCTATCACCCACTTCTGCTTAATTATGGTTAAGGGAGATCTATAAGGGTAATTTAGAAGAAATTGATAAATATAAGAAATAGGTCTTATATTTAGGATTAAAATTAACTCAACAATTAGATCATATATTAAGAACCGGAGGAGTATAAGAGTTAGTTAACTAATTTGAGCAAATTAAGAAAGTTTGTTGAGTTAGTTATTTGTAATAATTAGGTGTTATCTTTCCTAAAATATCCTTACTAATCATGTATTAACTAAAACTACCATTTGGCCCAACCTTTGACATATGCAATTACTATAAGGACTATTTTGAAAATATATATAAATATGAGAGACAAAATAGATTGGGTTTTTATATTTAAGACTAAATTAAAAGTCAAACTAGTTCTTATATTAAGGATCAGAGGTAGTACATATATATTTATGATTATAAATAAAATTTAGCAATTTTTTATTATTTGTTGTGCAGCTTAGCAGCTCTGTGTTGTTGTTGCCTCTTGGACGAGTGCTGCTGCGACCCAACAATTATTTGTGATTGCTGATGTGCCTTTAAGCAACACATACACAGATCTTCATAGGCTCTTTGTCGGGGATCCCAATTTTACTAAATACTGAATAACTATTTTATGTTATTGTTGACTTTATGCCCTACTACATATGCTTCTTTATTAATTATATCGTTGACGATTGTATTGTATGGATGTATTTTAGAATGTTCATTAACATGTATATTTTGTTGGTGTCTCCTAAATATTGTCGGCGATATCACAAATGTCATTAGTACCTACTGACGTAACAAATTATAATTACCAATAAAATAGTGGTGAGAAAGGAAGGAAGAAACTCGAGTTTACAATCAAATATTAAGTGAAGGCAAAATATTATTTTATTTACAATAATAAAAAAAATTTCCTAGTAGTTAAGTACTATACGATCACTATAATTTTGACATCATATGATTTTCTTGGCGCAAGAAAATGTTTGAAGATTAATTCCCATGATTGCCCTAACGCAATAAGGATAATACTTCAAAAAAAATAAATCACCAATACAAATTGTACTAAAGAGTAGGTCTTCTGTCAATAATTGGAGGAGTACATTGCATTTTGGGAGCAATATGATAATTATGCTCAACAGCAATATAGCACTTAGACGTCTCACGTGATTGAGGATTTGAAGTGTAAGATACTACCTCTAGTTCTTAATATAAGAATTGATCGATTAATTTAAGTAGATTAAAAAAATTAATTAAGTTAGTTATTAATAATAAATAGGTATTGTCTTCTCTAAAATACTCTTGTTAATCAAGTATATTAGTTAGAACTACTATTTGATAAAATATTTAACCTATGCAACCACGACAATGACTATTTTTGAATAAATATGAGATACAAAGTGGATTGTAATATTATATTTAGAATCAAATTGAAAGTCAAATTAGCTTTTATATTAAAGACTAGAGATAAGTATCACTTTAGTTTTAATCTCATGATCACAGGCAACAGAAGTATTGGGTTTTAATCACACGGTTTGATATTAGTTTATTTCAATTTCTTTTCTAAGGGGCCAAAAACTCAAAGTGCCTTTGATAAATTATTTCAATATTGTACTAAGGTCATTTTAAATGCAATGCAAAAATCCTTACTTCATCTCCTAGCATGAACTTGCCTCCATTCTTCAATTGTATCTGCTAGTTATTTTGATGTATAATCTCATTATCAACTTCTTCAAGCACATTTTAAGCCGCCACAGGCCGTACAAAACCTATGGAATGATAATCATACGTCTCTGGAAATAGCAAATCCAAACGGGCAGAGTGAAGAAACAAATACAGTTCTTCCATTGGATGAGGCTTGGATAAAGCTAATACAAAACACTGTACAAGGAAGAAAATGCTGCCAGGATCTAGAAAAAAATGATGTATCCATAGATCCCCTTCCCCTGAACAAGAGAGGAACAATGAACGAATAGGCTCACTTTGATCACAAGTCTACATTTTCATCAACCAAAGAATCTGTTTCATGAATCCTCCATCTCTGAGGCTTCCGGTTCTTCTATACGTGGCAGCTGTTATTATTTTTATCACAAGATACATGGCAGCTGATCATCAGTTCATCTATCTGTTTTGTTTCAACAGAGTCATTGAAAACCCGTGATAAAGAACTCACCCTCTACGCGAGACATTATTGAAAACAGAAGGAAGAGATTTTGTGACCAGGATGGTATTTTTCAAAAGAACAAAACCTTTCATCGTCAAATCCTAAGGTATCCTCCTCTCCCTTGATCTCCAATATGGAGAGGTCTTCTGAGAAATGACTTCCTATTAATTGACCAGCTTCTTCCCAGAACGTTCTTTTTCCGCCATGCACCAGCTATACGGGTATACAGAGCCGGGAAGAGGAAGCAAAGTAGCACAAGTAGTACCATAACAACACAGAGCAGGATAACATTGCGAAAACCATCCTTAAGCTCGGGATTGTTTTGGCCAGTCCAAGGAACTCCTCCAACATTCATGCCAAAAACTGCATTGACAGTGGGATGGGAACCAAAACCATTCAATATTATTGCCTATGGATATGATTGATAGAATTAAAAGAAGAGTTAGATTGCCAACCTCCAGTAACGATGGATAATGGGAGGAATATGATTGAAAGGAATGAAAGATAGTAAAGTTTCCTGTTTATTTGCTCAGCCTGCCAGCTGTCAAGACCTGCCTGAATTGCCGTTACACGATTCACTATGAATCCGACATTCTCCTTCAACCTCTTTAATCTTCCAATTAGCTCTTCAAGAGAGCTAATGTCTTCATTGGCAAACCATGGTTTTAAAGAGCATTTTTCTCTGACTCGTAAAAATACTTGCTCTCCGTGAGAAATCACCTGATTAAATTCAAGTCAAAACCAAAAAGTAGCTCTGTCCATATAATGTTGCTTTTATAACTAGAAATGTGGAAGAAATCCTTCCCGGTCACATAAGATCCTACCTTACCATCAACCAGAGCAAATAAATTGCTTCACTTCCAGGTCAGGGAAATGGTCCACTCCCATGAATCTAGACTTTTTATAGATGTTCCAAGGCAAAATTTTGATGCTAAAAATTATTTAAGATGGCAAAGGGCAAACATTTTATTGTATTAAAACTGAAACGAGGTTCACACTTCACATTTTCCCATCCAACACAAAAAAGCAAGCTATATAACCAATTGAGTTCTAATACGCCTATCAAAGGATGGCAGAAACACTGTAACTTTTCGTGTGCAAAATAGATTAAAAAAAATGGTAAAGAAATTAAGGGGAACAAAGAACAACCTGAAGAAGACGCTGCAAGTCCAGATGCAGTTTGGGAAATCTTCTATCATCCAGCATTTGTTTCTTCAAAGCAAAACCACCTGCAATCAAGCAAAATAGTTTATCTCAGATTCAGTTCCACCACACAATTTTAAATAGGGTGTGCTAAGGGACGAACATGGAAGCAAAAAACACAAAAAAAAAGAAAACTTTTGGAGTCTACATTAATCAAAACCCAAGTCATTCAAGATGAAAATACTTTTGCAACATGTCAAAACAATATTGAAGATAAATAGTAAATCACATCAAAACAAAAGGATGATAAATGAACTTTCTTAGGAGCTGCTTGAAACACTGATATCAAGCATAATCAATTATGTGGCTGCAAAATCCGAAGATATAAGGTGTAAGGATATGAGATCTTCATGTTTGGTATGACAACTGATAGTTACAAGAAAAATGACTCTTGATTAAGGATATAGGTTGTTAAAACCCTAATATAAGCAGGATGTCAGATTCCCAAATGCTTTGTAAGGGGCAAGAGATCCCTATTATTCGTGACAATCATATGCTTGACTGGGATCTTGGATGCCTTGTTACTAATAAATAGTAAGACCTATGAAGTTACATATGTTAAAGGTTTCTTTTAGCATCATTCCAAGGCACTGTGGATTCCTAAAATCAGTCAAGTCAAAACATTTTTGCTTAAAAGATCAAATTAAGATGTCCAGTTAGAACTAAAATATTTAGATCTTGACAATTGACACATTGATGATCACATTTTATAATGTCATTTGTTTGTTAAGTTTTTATCCATTTTCTTTCCAAATAAATAAAAGTATAGATACGGAATTAATTACGCAGAATACCCCAAAATGAAGTTAGTGACAGAAGGCATAAACTTAAGACTTCTGCTGAAATGTACAGCAACTACATATTGGTTGCATGAGATAATCAGTACTAGTAAGTCTGTTCATCAACTAATATTCGCAAATAAAGAAGGCAATGACATTGGGATCAAAATGTCATTGACAGAAATTACCTTTATCCAAGGCTAGCTCAACAGAGTCCAACTCCATCTCAAGTTTAGTCACAAGATCTTGAAGCTGATCTACGTGTGTGTCAATTATATGAACGACAAGGTTTGAGACAGATCTAGGAACTGGATTGTCAGCTTCCTCTGAATGATTCATAGTCAATAAGAATTCAAGAACATGCTCCTTAATCACAATGCCATTCCCCTGCTTCTGCTGATCTCCAAAATGAGGGGAAATTTCCACGCTAGGAATCTCAGAAAGAAGAGACTCTCCCATCCGTGAGAAACCTAATCGGGGAACACGCCCCAAAGACACAGTAATTACTGAATTTTCTGTGACTCTAGCAGCAATCCTAAATGTAAAGTCACTGTTGGGAGGACCAGGAGAATTAACCCTGAATACAAGTGCCCCATCAACATGTGCACAAAAGGGTCCATTGCTGACGAGGGAGAGAATATCCTGGAGTTTCAAAGGTGGGCAAAGAACACCAATTAAGTCTTGTGCAGACTGTGACAACTTCTGATTTTCTTTTGGGAGCTCCACATGGTACCAAGAAAATTCATTCCCTCTTCCATCTACTAGCTCCGATTCTCTTTTCCTGTTTTGATGAAGGTCTGCTAGATCCCATTCCTTATTAAAAAAAATTCCCTAAGCCGTCAAATATGTAAGCTGTCTTCTTCACTAAGCCTGCAGGATATGTTGGGTAGATTTGGCGCGGCCTTAGAGGCATGCTTGCAGAAGGTTCATTGTCCATGGCCTTACTCTCCCCATTCATAATACCCCTATGACCAGTTAGTTCCATAACCTGCTCCAGCTATACTAAACTATGGTTCCAATTACTAAACAAGAAGATGATAAAATGTCTCCCAGAGACTCTATCTATTATTGCTATTTCATAAACTAGACATCCCAGATTACATATCTTCTATGGAAACCAACATGCCATTATCGTGCCAATCATCAATCATGAATAATAACCCATAAGTAGATCCAAAGGGCAAGGGCAGATTCAGGTATCCAACATTCAAACCAGCCCCCCCCAGTCACTAAACCTGAAACAGAATTGGAAGCTTTCAGAATCCACTTACGCTAATAAAGACCAAAGTAACATATAGAGAAGCATGCAGGAACCGAATGCAAATGCAACTCAAACAATATGCACAACTCCAGGCAAAGAACAAGAAAATATGAATTACTCAGGACAATAAATGCAGAAATGTGAGAGAAGTGATTCACCTCGCAGCACACTGCAAATTAGCAGAGCCAGACCGATGTCAAAATCTTCGATTCCCAGAAAAGTCAAAAGTTGAATTAGCGTAGATTGAACTCGTTCGCCACCAACCAGATTCAATGCTTCAAAGGAAGCGAAAATTTGTAAACAGGGAAAAAATACAATATACAAACACAAGTAGTTTTTTTCTTTTTTTGGGCCGGAAATTCAATAGAAGCCGGCTATATAATGCCGCGTAGGAAGAAGCCGCCGACAATCTCGATTGTCACCTTCTCCGAAACTTCCCAAGCAAATCCAATTCCTTGAGCGGCGATTTAAAAGGTAATTAAAAGAAAGTAAGATCCCAGTTACATTTTTAATCCCTAGAAAAAATAATTAACTTACATAGGTTAAACTACTCTTCCACTATGTGGGGTTCATTGTCGGAGTTTAACAAGCCGTCTTAATTTTAAAGTACTA